ACCCTATTGCTCACTGGATGTCAGTTTCGTCCATACTAGTCGACACCGCCTCACAAATACTTGGCGTTAAGCCATGTAGACGCGAGGATTGGTTTGATGACAACGACGAAGCACTGACCGAGGCATTAAGGAAACATCGGACACTGTTGCGTTTGAATCGTAGTGATCAAGCAGACTTAGTTAAGCAGAATGGCGCTCTACTTCGGAGAAAAGTTAGGGAAGTAAAAAACAAGTGGTGGCAAGACAAGGCCGCGCGCATTCAGTGGCTTTTCGATACAAACCATTGCATTTTATAACGAGGTTAACAAGCTTTTCAGCCCAGTGAACCGAAGTTCTATGACGTTAAAATCTTCCGATGGCACTCGACTTGTTACCGAAAAGCTTGGGATACTTCAAAGATGGGCAGAACATTTTAACGATTTGTTAAATGTTGACAGAGCTGCGGATATGCACCATATTAGCTCTTTACCGGCACTGCCTACAGTACTTAAGCTGGATGAGCCTCTGGCACTGTGTGAGGTCGTGGCTGCTATACAGCAACAACAAAACAAAAAGTCGGTGGGAATTGACAATTTACCTGGAGAGTTAATAAAGTATGGGGGAAAGGAGCTCCACGAAGCGGTCTTGAAGCTGTTTACAAAAATTTGGGATGAAGAGCGAGTACCTGCTGACTTCCAAGTCTCTCGCATATGCTCCCTGTATAAAAATAAAGGAGACCGCTCGGATTGCAACTCTTACAGGGGTATATCCCTTCTAACTACTTCAGGGAAGGTCTTTGCCCGAATTCTGTTAAACCGCCTAATACCACTGTCGGAGAGAGTTTTACCAGAAACCCAATTTGGCTTCCGACCGGATAGAGGTACCTGTGAGGCAATTTTTTCTGTACGCCAGCTTCAAGAGAAATGTAATGAACAAGGTCAACCAATGTATCTCTGTTTCGTGGACCTTGAAAAAGCATTCGACAGCGTGCCCCGCGAAGCCTTATGGGTGGTACTAGCGAAACTGGGATGCACGGAGAAGTTTGTTAGGATGATCCGACTACTGCATGATAATATGCAATGCTGCGTAAGTTTCAACGGCGAACAATCAGAGTTTTTCGCCGTAACCTGTGGTGTGAAGCAAGGATGCGTCCTTGCACCCACTCTGTTTGCCTTATACTTCGCAGTAGTAGTCAGGGAGGCACTTCAAACTTTATCTGAGGGCATCCGTATTCGTTATCGCACCGACGGTGGTATATTCAACCTAGCTCGGCTGAAGGCGCGCACTAAAGTGTCCCACGCAATAGTCACTGAGATGATGTATGCAGATCTAATAATTACATCTAAATGCCACCTTGACAACGAAGTCAACTGCAGAATAGGAGCCGCTTCAGCAGCATTGGGCAAACTTCGTTTCGGGGTGTTCCGGTCACATGATATAAAGCTCCTTACTAAGGTAGCTGTTTACATGGCAATCGTTCTGCCCAGTCTGCTGTATGCATCAGAAACGTGGGTCCTATATCGCAAGCATATCCGCACCTTAGATAGTTTCCATCTGAGATGCCTCCGTGAAATTCTGGGCATCCACTGGTCCGACCGTGTTAGAAACACGGAGGTTCTTCGGCGTGCTGGTGTTGCCGGAATAGAGGCCTATCTAATGAGGTGGCAGCTGCGATGGTGCGGGCATGTCTCCCACATGGCTGACAACAGAGTGGCGAAGTGCATCTTTTACAGTGAACTGCAGAACGGTAAACGCAAGCAAGGTGGGCAGTTTCTGCGGTACAAAGATGTACTGAAGCGCCACATGAAAAGAGCTAAAATTGAACCATCCAAGTGGGAGACTCTAGCAGGAGATCGGACACAATGGAGGCAAACGGTGCACAGCAAAGTGTACGACTTTGAAACTAGTCGCCGTAACGAACTGGACTCTAAGCGGGACCAGTCGAAGGCCAGGCCACCTGCGGCTATTTGTTATAATTATATCGGAGGGGTGCTGACTTGTGGCGAGTGTGGCCGCACATTCGCAGCAAAAATCGGCTACGTCAGTCACCTGAGAGCGCATCAGCTACGCTCTCAATATTAGTAAACAGTCGCTGTAGCCGAACACGGCTAGGATATGATGATGATGATGATGATGATGATGATAGTAACACATTCTAAAACTGTTCATTACGAAATTCCTTTAGCATGGAGAACACGTATTCAACCATCTACGCGAACATTATGGATTCATACATTTTGGTCATGTCAATAACCTCTCCTACATAGGGAACTGTTTTTAATTTAGTATGGAACGTGCTATTTTAATTTAATATGGAACGTGCAAAGAAAAAGGTTGTGGAATCTTTTTATGCATAACGATTTACATTTTACCATAAAAGAATATTAAATTAAATTTTAATGTTATAACTAATTGAATGTTGAAACTATTTTAAGAAAATTAAAAAAAATTTAATGATGTCAGGGAAATTTTATCATATATTTGCAAAGGAATCATCCCTCTGTTGTTATACTAAATAGTAATTTTGCTTTGTTGTTATATTTCTTCTTCTAGATTAGCCAACATTATGATAAAACAACGGATTATGAATTCAAGCAATTTTTAAAAACTATCGTTTATTGATTTTTCATATCTGCAGTGTTTGGTATCTGTCCACAAAGAAAATCTACGTTGGAATATAAACCCGTCCGTTATTTTATTACGATACACCAACTAGACTTGATAAATGAAGGTTGTGAAATAGGATGCGAGTAAAAGTTCCACAAGATTAATGGAATCTTCACCTGATCAATATATTGTACATGGCTTAATAAACTGCATAGACGACTTTTCTTTAAATTTTCTTCGACATTTTAACACGTCCTTATTTAGTTTTATTAGGATTACATTCGTTATAATGGTAATTAGGTTTTAATTTAACCCTTTAACCTCTTATTTTTCTCTACCTAAGCTTTTGTTTGAGAGGTTTTAATAGGGCGTAACTTCTAAAAGTATGTATTATTATATATTTAGTCGTTTGATAAATGTTTTGAATGATTTTTTTCTATTGAAAATTCGAATTGGTTTATAAGTAATCTTACCTATTTTTGCTGCTAAACTTGAATTTATTTAACTTATTTTTAAGATTATTACGACAAAAATAACCAAGCACTAGTGATTAATATCATCTTATATCTAATAAAAAAAATAAAAGTGATAAGTAAAAAGAAAAGTAAATTTAAATGCCATGAAGCAAAACATTGAGCTTGTAAAATAAAACCAGTGTATGTTTCACACAAAGCGTGTTTGCGGTCACGACGTGTTTATTGGCAATGCCTCGCCGGCGTGACATAGGCAACGTGATAGCGGGTAAGCCTATCCTAATATTGGAGTGTGGTCGGATGAGCAATTGCGACGCAATTTATGGTTCAATTCATTTCTCGATGAGGTGGAGGATTTATCCAAATTACAGTATAGTTTTTTATATCTAGGATTAGAAAAGGTGTTGGTTATTAGAAGATTTTTATTATTGAATTGATAGAAATGATTTTCAGTAAATAATTCATTCATAATATATTTTTATAGGTTTTTAACCTCATATTGCTATAGCTTAATCACTTTCGGTAATTATCGTTTATACCTAAAGTAAATTTGGGATTTATCGTTTCTTACCTGGTACAGAACCGCAACAGTGAACACGATTCATTCATTCTATAGGAAAACCCACAAGGTTTTCCTATTGAATGGATGGAGCTTGATTTCAGTAACCACGCAAATCTTTTTTAAGAAATAGTCAGTCAAAGTCAAAGTCAAAAATCTTAACGTCTTTTATCTACATTGCTTTTTTTTAGCATTTGAAGCAATGCTTGGCGCATCCATTGTTATATCATTCCAACATACAAATCATTTCGAATATCGTTTTACAACGATAATTCGAACGAGAGATGTCGCCATTGCTTCTTCGAAATTTAAATTTTTTATAGTGCTCATCTCTGCACTTAAGAATCAGGCCGCGAATGCCGAAGACGTGGATTCGATTCCCACAGCGGCGACAATCTTTTCGTACTTTTTCTCAAATTTTAATGTTCAATGTTAAGTGCAGAGATTAGCACTATAAAAATTTAAATTTCTTATTGAACGTCAAAAACTACCACCGATTCACTAGAGTACACTAGTCCAGAGAAAAACCGGTAAGAAACTCTGCGGTCTTATCTTTTCTTTTATTTTAATTATGTAAGTACACAAAAGTATATAAATATAAAATTAGCAGCAGCCAGGGAACTTGCAAGTGCAGAGCAAGAGTCATTTCCATACATCCTTGTCCTCTCTGTCAATGTCCTTTCAATGTATCTGAAAACTGATTTAATAATGATTTGGGTTGTTCGTAATTAAATTTGTAATCTGCGAACACAGTTCGTAGATTACAAATTTAATTATTAAACAGGTTTCTTGGTTCGTTTTTTGTATTATATATAAATGTACTAAACTGTCTCTGTTAATATAGAAAGGGAAATCCGAAAAGTTTTCGTCTTCATCGTACAATATAATATATTCGTAAAGTTATAAAATACCACGCGTTTCTATAGCGTGTCGAATTTTATGTACAAGAGGCCAGAGATATTTTTAGATGACATTTATGTACAAAATTATTTTAGCGAATTTATCCTTACTATTTTAACGATCGCTGTTGCGCGCATGTCCAATAATCAAAAATTAATAAGTGATTACCACGCCTGATTGACATTGAGTAGGGGCTAATTAGAATATCAGTTTTTGGAGATGCTAATTATTTTTTCTCCCCGCAATGGCTGAACGGAATTTAACAGGATTCTTAATTAGATTCATCTTGCGCTGTCGATCTTTCGTCGTATTTGTCAATGTTCAATGTATAATAATAATACTTCCGGACATATTTCTACACAACGTCATCTGTTACCAAGCTAAGAGAACTTATGCTACGGGGAATAGTGACCTATAAACGTAATCAAACATACTTTTCTTGTGTATATAATTTTCGTAAGTTGATATAAAGTTTTTTACAGCTGGCGAATGGCACAGCGCGGCGTTTTGGGTGTTTGTGGTTGGGGCGGCGACTCTGGTGGCTGCAATGCTGGCTGCCCTCGCCTGCTGGGTGGCGCGCCGTCGTGCCTCGCTAGCTCATAAGCTGGGTGAGCCTTTAGGACACACTTTTACACAACGTTCTCTAATCCGAAACTAAGCAGTGTACTGTGTGTACTATATAACTGACGAGCTGCTGCCGCAACTACGTCTGCGTAGAATAGGCTGAAGGCGTAACATTCAGACAGAAAGACATAAAATATGTATATAAATTATATATAGCCTATGTCTTCCTGTCCCGTCCCTGTCTGATGTATAAGCTATATTATTGTAAAGTTTTATTAAAATCCATTCAGTAGTATTTGCGTGAAAGAGTAACAAACATCCATCCATACATACAAACTTTCGCTTTTATATTAGTAAGGAAGTAAGGATAAACATACTTTTCTGTTGTAAATAAATACATATTATGCACAATATTCTTCCAGTAGTGGGGATCGAACTCTGGCGCCAATCGGGTCGTCGAGATTTATTTACCAAGAATTTCTATTTTCAAGAGAATATAATTACATAATACTAGAATTTTCTGGAACTGAAACAGTTTGCCGGTCCCAATCTCCAGGTCAAGAAATTGTAAATAAATATATAATGACGTAAAATGACATATACAATATATAGTGTAATGACATACACAATATAAATTACACGTATAATGACTGTAGAGTAAGTAATTTGCATAATGTCTTCAAACGATAAAGTTCCATTCGAGGTATATTAACAACACATTTCAATGCGAAAGAAGCCATGCAAAACGATGTACTCTGATCATTGCCTGCTTGACTAATGATGATAGGGCCTGCCACTGGTATAAAATTAATGAGTAATCTATTAATTAGGACCGGCGATGGATCTGTATCTCTGAATTTGGCGTGACCTCAGTCATCTATTAAAGCACAGGTATTTTTTACGGTTTTAATTTAACTGTGGTAGTGCCACAGTTAAATTAAAACGGTAAAAAAATGGGGCGTAATGGGCACATCTGGGTAAGTACACGACCTCACAGAAACCCAGCCTGTTATACAGCTGCGTTTCGACCGGTGAGTGAGGTAGCCGAGGCACACTATATTATAAGGTGGCAACGCGTCTAAAACTCTACGGGTGTTGCAAATGGGTGGGTCAAGCGGTGGCGGTTACCAGTAAACATCAGGGTGACACGCCAGCTCTTGTGCCACCTTCTCACGTGATAAAGGTGCCCTAGCTCGCGCAAAACCGTTGCTACACTCTCTAAAAGTAGAATAAATAGTCTGCCGAGAGGACGATTGTATGTCAAAGTAAATGTTGAACTTTAATTGACGAACTTAGCTTACTTTGTAAGAGAAATTCTCGTAAAATTTCTTAGCGAAACAATTAATATGAGGTTTTTCAACACGAGGAGCTTCGTAGTTCAGTCCGATTCTCAACGGTTTCAACAATTTTTTTAATGGAAAATGAGAAACGAGAATTTATAACTTTGTTGCGAATTAGTTTTCTTTAAATCTTTTAAAATTTTTATTGATTCGTTCGTGAGTTATATAACGCAAAACAAAATAAAAATTTTAACTTTTCAGTTGAAACGCTACTAAGTTTTAATTGACGTCTCTGAGGTCGCAGATTAAAACATAAAAATTTTATTACATGATGGTCACAATAGTTTCATAATGTTTAATTTTACATAGTTTTTAATCTGCTATTATTGAATTAGTGTGGTAGGCAAACTGAACATTCAGTTATTTAAAGGCATTCATAACGTTGAAGGCGCCCGATTTACAAATATACCTACAATGTTTTTGTTAGGTTAATTTGATGAATTCCTGTGCATCTAAACTCAACCGTGTACGCTGAGCGTAATCATATAGTCAGTATTAAAGTTTTATTACGAACAAATAATAGTTTAGCAAACACTTCGTTTTTATCCGCAAACTTCAATTTTATGTAACGTGAATAAGCCATCCGGCCATCAAAAGTGATTATTATGCAAAGATAGAATGTTGAAAGATATTTAAAGATAGAATGTCCATTCGTATTACTGTTCAGAACGACTATTATTTAAATTCTACTAACGCCAATCTACTTTTGGCATAACATATGTACATGATTCTACTAACGCTATATATAACTTTTGGCTTAACATAAGTACATGACCAATAATAAAATTCAAATTTGGAGGTGATGTAAACATCTCGCTGCGAGATCAAATGTAGGCGAAGTTGCTGAAGAGCTATGCGTTGTCTTTTCAAACTCTATGACTGGTTCAGGCGGCAAGCGTGGCCCAGACAAGGCGCTGGTGTTCCAGCCGCCACGACGCGCTACCGCCGTCCGCTCTCCGGGCTCCGCCACCCACTACTTGCGCAAGTCCCCATCGCCTACCGCCGCCGCCCCCGCACCGGCCACCTCTCCGCCACAGCCGCAGCCGCAGCCTCAACCGACCGCACCCAAAGAGGTAAGACAACACAAGGCAAGAGTAAATCGCCTTATGCTGAGTGATGAGAACTTTTTTGGACAATTATCTCACCCCAAGGTAAATAATACAACACCGGTGCCTGCAAGGCCGTTTAAAAACTTTAACCTTTAGACTCTTTCACGGGGAGACAAGCAAAAGTGTTAAGACTTATTTTTAAACCAAATTTCCGTGAGGTTAATTCTATTTCGGTATTTTTTGCTTTCTTTTTATGGCTAAATGTTTCGATGTTTACCTTTTAGCCACCACGTCAGCAACTGAGATTTTTACTTATTGACGTCTGAATGTTCGACACATTACATAATAAATTGCAAAATTTACATGTTAACAAATAGTTTCATTGTACTATCAAGATGTGGACCTGCTGCTGTGTGTTTAGCATTTATTTAAAAGAATCTTCAACAGATTTCAAAAAGTATTTTTATCGATTTCGTTTTTAACACGGTAAATTATAACTCTATAATGACCAAGATGGGGAATGTTGTGATTGCGATATATGTAACGGTAGTTGATCTTTTACCGGTCAAAAGAGGAAATTTCCGTTAATTAAACGACGGCGTTGTTGGATTGTTTAATGGTCTTAGGACTTTGACGTCTGTCCAAATTCGAAAGGCTGTAATGCAAAGAAGCACTGAAAAAAAATAACGTTCGATATTTGAAATTCTATCCTACCCTAATTAAGAAACTGGTAACAGTCTCCAACAGGCGGCAACAGTCCGCACAGCCCCACCGCTCCGAACGAGCCCACGCCCCTCAGCAAAGAACTCGCGGACGCCACCGCCACTGAGAAGGTCAAGCCCACCGAACCAGAGACGACCGACGGACGACTTGGTGACCTCCATTTCAAGTTACGGTAAGGGAAATCTTGGTATGATAGTCCACGATAAATATTGAACATCGACCTTTGGAATGAGACACTGCGAATTTCTACTTCGTAGAGCGTTATCTCTGTCACACACAGTCTGTCTCTATGTTAGTGCTTCGTGCGACAGACAGTGACTGCCTCTTTTCGAAGGTCGACGTGCAATAATTTTCCAAAGTACTATTTATCATACTGTGTCCCCATCGGAATTTTTTTAAATTGTTTTATATTCATAATTATCCATTGGAGGTTTGAAAAAAAAATTGTAATAAAAATGTAATACTAAAGTGCTGTTATAAAGTAGTGCTAGTAACTACGGGTTCAAAGTAATGTTGATATTATAAAACATATGCCAGTACAGTTTCCCAATAATCACACAATAAGCATATTCCTTTCGAATTAAATTTGTAAAGAAATACGTAACAAAATAATAAAAAAATAAACAATAAAAGCAGGAAAGCGAATAGTCCCCCATTTATAAATAATTAATTGTATACTGTGTATAGAAAGTTGAATAACGTAAAGCCAAATAAATCTCTGAACTGATTAGGTTTTACTTGTTTGTGCGGAAAATTAATGAATTTTTCTTTAGATGAAAGCGCTCGTATTTTTACGTAATCTGTCGCCGGCTCTTGGCTTTATAAAGTCCGCCCACAATTACCTGGAAAGGTTGGAAAAATCCAAACGCTTGTTAAAATACGTGACACGTACAAAGGACATTTGAAGGGTTTTACGTTATATCATTTTTTAATTGGCATTTATTATACATATACAAGGCTTTATAATTAATGAACTAATCACACTTAATAAGCTAATTAAGTATGATGAGTTAATTGTCGTATTCGTAATTCTGATCATGAATCGATATTGATTTATAAGAGATTCTAGACCTATTCTAAACCTTGTTGATACAGTAACTTCAAATAAAGTTTGAGGTTGATAATAACATTTCAGTAAGAGCTCTATCGGATGGTTATTATGAGAATTTATCTCCCAGAACGTGCTACCTGTTCCCCAGTATTGCGGGCATAATTCAATTACTGCTTTAATTGCTAGCAGTGCGGCCGGCTAGGGTTGTCACCCCCCTGCCTCATGTTGAATTACGTAGTCTGCAAATAGTCCTTAAATAATTATAAATAGGGGTCTCATCTGGCTAATTCACTAGACGCTTCCCATTTCCATGGAACGAACAACACCTGCACCAAACATTTGTTAATGAAAATTGATTCGACTAATTATTGTCTGAGATGACGCCTCCAAGTGACGAGTACATAAAAAATTCCTTTTATATATTTATATAAAACCTATCACCTATTTAGTGATGAGCCAGTCGCCGCGATTGAGACATACAGACGCGATTTGAGAGAACTTGCCGCGACTTGGATAGTTCCAAATTATAATAAATTAGCATCAGCTAGCTCTTTATATAGAAGATATCTATATCAAGAGTTAGCTGTCTTTATACATAAAAAATGATCAATGTATAAACTACGTCGCAGTTGTTGTGTGTATCGCAATGTATGCGTGTACGTGTATGTGTAAAAAATACCTAATATAATTGAGACAGGTGAAACCTAATTTTTGCCTCGACCGTTTTGAAAACAACGTTGTAGTGAATACGACGTGCAACAATAAAGCCACCCGACACGAAATCAATACTGGCTCTACGTTCAGCCATTGCTACGACGCTACGAGCTACGTATGTGTGCCCTTATCCAACCAAGCTTTAGCGCTTAGCAAACATGTTAGGGTTTGCCTGACGGGACGTTGGGTGTCATACGAGAACAATTCATTTCCTTTAAATTTACGTTCTTATGGTAACGATTGGACGCACCCATTGTAATAACTACCAGGCACACATTTTGTAGATAAATAGGACTGAGAGCAAATTAAATTATAAAACTTACACGGTTTAATGCGGTTACAGATTAAGCCAAGTTAACCAATATTTGTGATATTATAATCATAGCTAATAACAACTTATGCAATACTTAGTGCTTTCAAACTTATTACTTAGTGCAGCAAACACATTGAAATTGTTGCACGAAACAATTTACTAAATTTATTAGAACAAAACTCGGTCGTTAAAAAAATAATTTAATTGCTAAAAAGTAAATAATACGTAATCAATAAGCCAAATTCAATATCAATTTTGATAACGACCATTATATAAATATTGTTGGTCATCGATAAGATTACATTTGATTAATTATAATTTTGACAGAATGGCTTACATAGTTGCAAAGCCCCGCCCGGTAAAATTATTCGATTGACACACTTGTCTTTGGCTGTGCACTACGCAACGCAATTTGCACAGGTTAAACTTTTAAATAGGCCATCCACAAGCTTTGGTAGAAGTCTGATGTCGTTGCGAAAAGAAACAAAAGTACAATTTTAAAATAGGACAACGTTACAACTTAAATCTACTTATTTCCCAATTTCCGAAAATAAAAACAAATTTAATGAAGGCAGGACGCAAGGAATCTTTATAACAAATTGATTAGTAGACATGCTAAGACGTTACACAAGTTAAACTGGACATGATTGTCCAACCCACTTATTTTCTATAGAAGCTCTGAACATTGTTATGTAAACACAGAGGTTCACGTGTTTATGTATAATTATTACTCTAATTCTTTTCTTTTAAATAAATACAATTGTTACTCTAATTTTAACACAGAAACGGAGATATCTGTTTAATAATAGTTAATAGAACCTAGCGCTATTTTGTGAGATTTGCAACTATACCTGTTACATATTTTGTATCTAACGTATAAAATTTTATCTCTGGTCTTAGCGTCTGAAAAGTTATAAAAACCACTGCCGTACCGTTGCAGACTAGATGAGGTGCAATAAATTTTGCAATCAGGTTTACAGCATACATTTCTCTTTATAAAACTTAACGTCACAATGTTTGCACTACGACGTTTAAATTAAGTTCAAGAGATATCAGAAGATAAAAATAATATTCGTTTATTTTCCGTTTGTGACCCACATCACACAATATCATAGATTATTTTCTATTTTGATACATGAAGAATATGAAAGGCATTAACAGAGCTTCTTCGGGATTTACATTTGTCAGTTTTCCAGGTGGAAATAAAATCTTTACATCGCGATAAGAGCTCTTTGTCCATTTATCCTCATACGTCAGGTCTTTAAGCCCTGAAGGAGAAATTAGTGGAGGTCAAGGTCAACCATTTTTCACTACACATCTGCTGGATCAAAGTTTATATACTATTGTACTTATAATTAATTACTAATAATTAATTGGGATATTTTTATACTCACAATTTTTTTATTATTGGCATTTCGTTAAATTAAATTTACGTGTGCAATAAAAAATATGAAATAATATAAAACGGCATAACATTAAAATATATTTCAATAATATTAGTAAATAATTATACTTTGACGTTAAACTTTCCATTCATTGTTAATAACCTATTCAAGCGGGGCATGTGTATGATTATTCTATAATCCATCTGTGTACTTAACGGCCATTTGCTAGCGAATGTCGCGTTGCATTGGCTCCTCACTAATGTATGCAAATTTAAAACGGCATTACGCAAATAACTCGAGTGTTAGTTTGCCACTCGACTGACCCTATATTATCAAGCCTAGTGCCAAAACTACAATTTCGACCATTGCGCTAGCAACATTTCGAACAATGCAAATTAATGAATCACCGCTGGATAAGTTTACTAGGCATGAAATTCTGCAGTTCAAGTTTGGTAGAACTATCTATTAGAGTTATCAAAAAAACAAAGAAAAGGTAAAATATTTAACAATTTTGAGTATTTATTAAATCAAATTATTTTATTTTATTTTTTATCTCATTATTTCTTACACTTTTTATCAGAGTAGCTGCATTAGCAAAATACTAATGGAAGATTGAAAAAGGAAAAAGAAAATTTATGAAAAATGTGAATTTATTTTAATTCTGTCGACTTTTCTTGGCTAGAGCGTAACCAACCTCGACCACTATTTGAGTCATTAGTAGAATTGCCGATGTAAATCTAATTGGCTTTAAAATATGACACCAAAGGAATAGTCAATTGAAATTTTAGGTTTCCATTTAGAACACGCAACAGTGTTCGCTGTTGCACAAATGGGCAGTTCCGTCCGGGATAGTACCACGACCTTCGACCACGACTTCTGCGTTTGGTCTTGTGAATGAGGTAACCGGGGCCCACTTTATTACGCAAGTGCAACCCTACGGGAGTAAGCAGTGGAAAAATCTGCCATGTCCCTTGATGTTGCCAAACTTTCAGTGAAAAGTGCCACGTATATCCCTCACCTGGCAAAAAGAAAATAATACTATTTCTTGATATCGGCCTTAAAACAGCAGATGGTGCTTTCTGCCTGGAGTCAGCTCCAGTGGAGCATCTTCAAATTTTCATGTGTTCCAACACATGAGAATTTGAAGGTGGTTCATTTGAACCTCACACTTTATTTTTCACCAACTTCATTCTTCCTCTTAATCGTGGATCGTGACTCCTTATAAATTTCCCATCAGTGAGCTGTCTCCATCGGTTACGTTCCATCGAGGATGCGCAACAGACGGTTTTACAAATACGTTTCAGCGATGCACTATTTTACCTTCATATTCGCCTCGGTTTTATTTAAGTTTCGATTTATTGCAGAGAAATTCATGGCGAGTGTTGATATTTTGTGGTCTTTCCTAATGCAACAGTAACTTCCATTTAATTATCATGTACACAATTAGACGAGAGTATTTGAGTACGCGTTCCCGTTAATTGAATAAAATAACACAAAATTAGTTCAAAAGATCAAATTTTAACAAAATAAATAATAATATTAATGCTGGCAAAAAAACTACAGAAATAAATCAGCGCAAAACACTTTTATAAATTTTAATTGAAGACATGTAGACTTTAATGTGTGAATATATAATAGTGAAACTACGTGTAAGAAAGTAAGTATACACTTTCTATATTCACGCAGGGATATTAGATAAAGAAAACTTATCAGAACTCAGTATAATAGAAACAGAATATGATATCCCATCAGTGTAATAATTCGAATAAACGTCAAAGCAAGTCATGACATATTCTCTTGTGCTACATTCTTTGTGGTTAACATTAATAAAGATAGGGTATTTTCCTTTGTCCTTTGCTAACGTTGAAAACGTTAATTTTATGTCGCGGTAACTTTTCTTGTTATCAACTTTTTGTTATGTAATGGGATACTTATAAAGAAATGTCTATAAAATATCAGCGGAAGCTTTGTTATGAAACAACTAAACATTGTTAATACAATGACAAATATGTAAATAATTTTATCTAAACAACTGTTCATATGTACTTCATAAATATCTTCTATTTTGAAAAGTGAAAAAATAACACCAATATATATTTTTGTAATAAGTAAATAAATAAGTCGTGTTTTTTTTTAATGCGAAAAGTTGCCAAACGAGCAGGCGGGTCACCTGATGTTATGTGAATACCGCCGCACATGGACATCTGCTATACCCGAGGGTTACAGAGGCGTTGACATCCTTTTGGAAATTGAGCTCCGGCTACTCCACTCACCAGACGAAACGCGAAAGTATTTGTAATACTTCCACTTTACGCTGGTCTTCTATGAGGTCGTGGTACTTACCCGGACGGGCCTGCCCATTCGTGAAACAGCCGAGGCTGCTGCATGGCCCTACCACCGTAGAATAATGATAATTAAAATTTCGTCGGTGATTGTTTGACAGCCAACAAAATCGGACCATCTTTTGTCTGACATAGATTGGTGTAAAAAACTAGTTTGTAAAACATTTTAACTTTATTATAGTCCTTAAACTACGTCTAAACAATTTTCATCTAGTTCATGCGTGTTGTCAGATTATGCGCGAGTGATATCGGTCAATATGATATGAGATCATCCGTGAACTCTGATTTCTCATTAAACTCACTTTTCGTAACTGTTTATCAAGAACGTGTAAACGCGAGATCTTGAAGAGGCGGCACTACTTGTGTGTAATAAGTATGGAATATGGTAGGGGTCGCAGTTTCTACTGTTTCACAAATGTGCTGGCTCACCCGGTTGAATATTACGGCCTGACAGAAGACCGGCGCGAACTGGAAGTGTATACTTTCGCGTTTCGTCTGGTGAATGAGGTAACCGGTTCCCACTTTTTAATGGTTGGAAATGCACCAGCAATCTATCAGGTCTATGAGCGACGGTAATGCATGAAAGATTTTGGAAGATATGCGCACTTAAGGCCATTCATACCAAAAGCATCAAAATAATATTGTCACGTCTTAACAGAGACGGTATGAGTAACGAGGTGGGCCGAGCCGGAGTAATCAATAGAGCCCTGTATTCGGAGGTATCCAGTTCCATTTATCGATCTCAGTTGCAGCGGCCTCCGAATAATCTAGATTCACAAAATACATTACTACCGCGAGCGTTAAAACGAAGTGCTGTTTTTATGGTTTTATTACTCTAAAGTTCTGCTAGATGCCAAATCTCTTGTGTTTAAAACTTTATGGAGTTATTTTCGTGCTGTGTTAGGGACATTAAATCAAGGGATTTGTCTGTGACATACCATTCATGCGGTTATTTCTTATTACAGGAACAGCGATTGATGCTTATAATATCACAGTCTACAATTTTTTTTATAGTATATTATACACTTTTTAACCGAACTGGATTTGATCCAAATTGTCTTCATAAGATTTGTCTTTAGAAAACGTGTGTGCGACGCAGTATAATGTTAAACATTGACGAAGAGAAGGGGGACAAATAGATAATAAATTATGTAAAATATTTATGCAGTAGTAGATATTACATCTAAAAAATTATTAAAAGGTGGCAACGCATCTGTAACCCTACGGGTGTTGCAAATGTGCATGGGCGGCGAGGTCACTTGCCACCTTCTCACATAGAAAAAAAACAAAACAAAAGCGAGTTACTAAAAGAGTTTCACGGAAGAAAACTTCTAAACTGATAGAGTCAACTGGAATTTGCACCATAAATATTTGAAATCAGATCCCAAATCGACGAGCACTGTGAAATGATCACCGCCGTCTTAGCGATATCTAAATGTTAATCAAAATTAAAACAACAAAAGAATCTCAGTTCCCGTATTTACCCAATTTATATTTAAAAATAATCCGTTACATAAAAGTTTTCTTTGTCATTCAGGTTTAGACTATTCATTATTTTCCTTTTTTTATCTATATAGCAGTCTCTCCCTTAGACGCAGATTATTATTTACTGTATACATTGGTAAACTTGCCATTATATATGCTTCTTTAACATATTTGTTCAGTATTTGTTAATAATAAAAAAAAATATTATTATAACTTGAAAAAATAAAATTTTATTACAATTCCTTCACTAATTAATCGAAAGGAACTTCGTTCCATCCGGGTGTCCCTTGACATCTCTAGTTTGTTCATTAGTATCATTTAAGTTATTCATTATTGTTCTGTAAATATATAATTATTATTATATATTTGTGTATTAGTACATATTAAACTTTATGTAGAGGGATATTTAGTGATAATTGTATTACTTTCTTCATTAAACCTAGTATAAGGTTGGGGAACAGTGGTCAACGCTTGCTATATTCGGGCTCCTACTGTGTTAGGCGACAAAAAAGGCTTTAAGAGGCTGCAATATTGAGGCACGGCGGGCGGTCTAACACGCGACCTAATTACTATTAGGCTAGATACTATTGACGCCGTAAACCACTTAAGAGATAGCCTGCATATTCTTTTAATAAATAACATAAACATTAATAGAATCGAAGAATGAAAGAAGCGTAAAAAAGTAAATACAATCACTTGAAAGAAAGACGATTGCTAGCTGCTATTTAATTTAAGAAAAAACTAAAAAGCCAGACTGACGTACTAAATTTTTTTTAAATATATATTTTGGCGCTAAAAAGTAGTTACGTGGCAACATAGTGACGGACATAACACAGACAGGTCAGGGTCTTTTTATGTGCTTTGCAACACGACCGTGAGCGTAGAAAGAAAAAACCGGCCAAGTGCGAGTCGGACTCGCGCACGAAGGGTCCCGCAACATTATTTATAAAAACGGCCAAAAACATGTCTGTTGTATGGAAGCCTCCTTTAATTTATTTTATTTTTTTTAGTATTTTTTGTTATAGCGGCAACAGATACATCATCAAAATTTCAACTGAATAACTAACACGGTTCATGGAATACGGCCTGTTTACAGACGGAGAGACACACAAACAGAGGACAGACACACAGCGGAGTCTTAGTAATAGGGTCCCGTTTTACCCTTTGGTTACGGAACTCTAAAAGGCGAATAAAAATTTAATAAAACATGCGTCATATAAAACTGTTTCCCAAAAAGCCATTCCAATTCCTGTAACGTTTCTCTGCAATTTTAATATAGCGGCAAGCTAAGTAAAATTAACCTCGTTTTAACCGCGGCGCCGCATCGTAAAACTTTTCACTAAAAATTGAATACAGTTTTAACGTAAGCTGCCTCATTCGTACACGAGATGGTTTACGCACCAAATAATAAGTAGGTGTTACTCATGAAAAATGTAAAAACTTATGATGAATGGAAATAATATATTTAGGTTGTTATAGAAAATTACTGAAGGAAGTTAAAGTAATTGTGTAATTGAATTTAAACAATGGTTATATTATGTTACAGTTCAAGGAAAAATCTTTTGACTTTTATGTGGTACAATATTTTGTATGAACTCGTTATTGACTAGTCTTAGACCGTCATTAATGCTATGAATCTTGTATTGCTTACTGCTTGTTTTCAATATTCGATCTACAGATAGATTTGGTTATTGGAGTTAGAATTTTGACGTATTATGTAGCTAATGAAAAATACACACAGCTAGTAACAAAATCTATATGTAGATAGAATATTGAAATCGGCCGGTAATTATTTGCCATAACTTCACAAGTAATTATTCTGAAGTGAGCCTTATCACTACATAGTAAAAAACAAAGTCATCCTGCTGTCTGTCTCTCCCTATGTATGGTTAGATCTTTAAAACTACGCAACGGATCTTGATGCGATTATTTTTACTATTCTTTATATATATATTCTTTAATATAGATTCAAGAGGAAGGTTTATATTTATAATACATTGCACTCGTGCGGAGCTAGGGCGGGTCGCTAGTTTCATAATAATTTTAAAACTTCATTGGTGCCTTTTCTACTTCTGACTTCTTGTTCCGGTGGCAGTTATGAGAACGAGAAGAGCGCGCTGGTGGTGTCGGTGGTCTCCTGCCAGGGTCTGCCTGGTCGCGAGCCCGCTGGTCCGGACCCCTACGTGAAGCTGCAACTTCTGCCCGACAAACAGCACAAAGTGAAGACCAGGTGAGGCGCCGTGGGGATCGATCCCACGTCTTCGGATTCTCGCCCAGACGGTTAAACCACTAAGCTAAACGGCCGATTGCCACACCGACGGACTTCAACGCGTCAACGTAAAGTATAAAAATTTAAAAAATATAGACGTTATAAATATTAAACGAATTACCGTCAGATTAACATCATGTAGGGCCTTTCTAGACATCTGAGTCAAAAGCTATGGGCTTTAAGTAATATTTATAGTATAAGCGTCAAGCCAATGATGCTTCTAGTTGGTGAGTCCAATTACATATAAATGCAATCGCAAAGCCAAATTTCAATTACTTAAATACATAATGCCCGCCGTAAAGATGTTTCGCGCCAATACTATTTCGTTTCGAAGATATCGTCTCAATTGGCCATGGCTCCAATGACGACAGAGAAAACAAATATGGAGTCCTTTTATCGGACTCAACAGGAATAATGATGTAATAACAAATTTAATACTGATAACGATTTGGTGCAATATTTTCAGAGTTGTTCGCAAAACGCGCTGCCCAGTTTACGATGAGGACTTCACGTTTTACGGAATCGCACCGCACCAGCTGTCCGCCATAACCCTTCACTTCGTGGTCCTCAGCTTTGATCGGTAAATTTCCTGATTTTACTCTCTCTTCCTGTGATTCTCTTCTTTCTTCCTTCTTTTTGGCCTTATCACATTTTGTGGGGTCGTTATAACATGCGAATGATATTGTTAATGTTATTGGTCAGACTTTTTACGCCTGACGTCAAACCTTCCGTAAATAAACACCCACAACAATTCTGTGTGAGTACAAATCCACTCGAGAATCGAAACCACTCCTCTGGTACCTGGAGCCATCAGTGGTTCCTCTTGTAGTTACACTTTATTATTCGAAATTACCGTACAGCTTTACCCAAAATAAAAAAATCTCCGTAGAAGTAGTCACTGATTCTTAATAATTTTATTGCCGTTGATTAATAATTTTAATTTCGATGCAACTTCTTGGGAGGAAAACAAAATTTGTTGCACACCGTCATGATCTCATGTTCATCGACGAGAAACCATTATGTATTCCTTTTTTGTGGTTGTTTGGAATATTAAGACAGAATCTAAAATATTTAGCAATAGCTATTGTTGTACAGAGTTTGGTTCTAAAAACTAGTGATTTGAAACAACATATGAAATATATGACTACAGATATTCCCGTGACGAGATAATCGGCGAGGTGGTTTCACCACTGTCCACTCTGCAACTGCACAGCGGCGAGGCGATGGCGCTCTGCCGTGAGATACAGCCGCGCAGCCTCAAGGTAAACCAGCCACAAAACCCAGCCCCAAAAAGTCTGAAGATATCTAAATTATCTCCGCTACTATTAACGCTATTCTCCATTCACACAATGAGCCTGTGTCTGGCACAGAACGTACCCCGAAAATCTGAAGATATTTAAATTAGAGTTCCGAAGGCATTAATGATAATTTTTTCAGCGCTCGTAATCACGCGACTGACATTCTCAGCGAGTCCCGTGACCATGAACTGTGAAATACTCGTAAAATTAAAACGCTATTAAACACATAAAATGAAACTACATTTAGAAATGAAACATTCGCATAAAAACAAGAAATCAATAAAAATTATTATAAAAAAATAACAGAAATAAATAAAGACCAAAAAGAAAATACAAGCCTATCAATCAAAGAAAAAAATTAAGTCTTCCCACAGAGCCCCGTAAAATTTTAATCGACCTTAACGTTCGGTCTCTAACAACGCCATAGAACAAACGTACATGCATAGACTGATATCACATTACCCTTCTTTTCGTCGCGCAAGACGGTAACAGATGTCGTGGTGTTTTGATGTGATAGATGCGCAGCGTGGGCCGTGGGGAGGTGCTGGTGTCACTTTGCTGGCAACCAGCCGCCGCGCGTCTCACCGTCGTACTGCTGAAGGCTCGCAACCTCCCCAAGATGGACGTCACCGGTCTCGCCGATCCGTGAGTAGCTCACAATTTTCTTTATTTTTTATTGGTGGCAAGTGAGCTGATGGTTTTACTGATGTTACTGATAAGCGCCATTGACATTAGCAACTGCCGTTGCCGTCGATACCTTATAATGAAGTGCCAAAATCACAGAACACATCCACTGCCGGTCTTCTGTAAGATGTCTACTTACCCGGAAGGACCCGCCCATTCGAGCAACAGTAACTGTTTTACTGACACTTTTGATATGCATAATTATAATCGTACATCCTAACTCCATCAATGTTTCCAAGCAACCCAACCTAAGTTTCTATCTTCTTGCGTTGACACGTCGCGCCCGACTGTCCCCAGCTACGTGAAGATGTACCTGCTGTACAATGGTCAGCGCATCGCGAAGAAGAAGACGCACGTGAAGAAGCGCACGCTGAACCCGGTGTTCAACGAGTCGTTCGTGTTCGAGGTGCCCGCCGCGCCGAGCGCCTCCCTCGACCACGTCTCACTCGAGCTGCTCGTCCTCGACTGGGACCGCGTCACCAAGAACGAGGTAGGGGCCGCCGAGAGCGAGGTAGGGGCCACCGAGTGTGAGGTAGGGGCCGCCGAGTGCGAGGTAGACGCCACCGAGTGCGAGGTAGGGCCACGCAACAGTCCTCGCTGTCCAACGAATGGGCGGCTCCGTCCGGGTAAGTGCCACGACCTCACAAAAGACTGGCGAAAACATGGAAGTGTGCGAACTGCGTTTCATTTGTGCGTGAGGGAGCCGGTACATTATTATAAGGTGGCAACGCATCTGCAATCTTACGGGCGTTGCAAATGTCAATGGATGGCTATCGCCTATCATCGGGTGAAACGCAAGTCGGTTGCCGTCTTCAAACATAAAAAAGACACTGAGGAAGTAACGCGCTTGCTCGCCGCGCGTTTTGTTGCACGCGTGCATATGACGTGTGCAAAAGACGAAAACAGTGACGTGCTGAGAGTGACGAGTGTGACGAGCGTGATGGGCGTGACGAGCGTGACGAGCGTGACGAGCGTGATGAGCGTGATCGCGTCCGCAGGTGATCGGACGGCTGGAGCTCGGCGCCGGTGGCACCGGCAGCGCGCGCCACCACTGGCGCGAGGTGCAGGCCGCGCCGCGCCGCCAGATCGCCGACTGGCACAAGCTCAAGGAGTGAGCGCCCACGCACCACCTCCCCCACCCCCACCCCTCTCAGCCCGCTAGTCTTAATCCCACCTACTGCGGCTCGCAACACCAACTAGCGAAATGCTCCACACACGCTTCACAACACGTGTCACCGGCAAACAACTTGCAATACATTCGATTGGCCGATTTTTGGCCCACTGAAGGCTGCAAGGAGTGTTAAAAAGTCGAACTTTCACCCTCTATGCCTGTCTCTGCTCGCGTTGTTTGCCGGTCACTGCGATTGACTTTAAACCCCGAAATACATGCTTCACACACTTAATAGATTCCGAACGTTAAACATGCTCCCATCGTCCTCAAAAACATATACCTCGCCCCAAGTACACCCAAACCTTTTATACGTAAAACTAACAGAAGACTCTCATCTATCTCTCCCCCGTAGCACAGACTATCCAATAACGCTACTGGATCTCAAATTTTCTAAAATTCTCCATCAACAAAACACCTCTTTTCTCGTCTTCTAAAACCCTAACTCAATTTTTTATTTGTCCCCGACTCTTGAATTCGATTTATTGTTTTTAGAGACATTTATATAATTTAACAACTTTTAATAGAACTGCGAACTTAGTTAACCTTTAGCTCTATTGTATTTCTTAGCTTATTAACCAAAATGAATATTAAATTGTTAAGAATATCAAATTAGAATAATATTTACAAAATGTAGAACATCCCTTTTCAAGTTATTTATTTTAAATCACAAGCTACTTAAGCAATGTTCAATCTTACTTTCAGCATAATGTCTTCTGATTTTGACATTTAGCAATCGAAATGCTTTAAGTAGTGCACTGAATTGAGCATTTGTTGTAAAAACTATGTATCAAATTGAATAAATAAAGTTGCTGTGGGGGGATACATAAACAAAGGCAACCTTTAAGCTCCTCTTTTAAGTTTATCCCTTTATCTTAATCAGGTAAAATTTTAGCACGCTACTACTTCGATATAGCAAACAAAAAAAAATGTGACGATAGAGAAAAAACATTAACGAATTAAGGGAATTCATGAAATATTAAATAATTATTATTTCATTTTTAAATTTTACTCTTCCATAACAAATTTGTCAACTCGCTATGTCGCCCCTGAGTGTCGCTTCACCCCCTCGACCTCCGACGCAAGATTCGGGCTCGGCCTTTTTATGTTCGCTCTAGGGGTAGGGACCACAATACCGCATGGAGTGGGGGTGCTCTGTGTCGGATCTTTGAGATTTTTCTTTATAGTCCTCCATCATTATTTATTTTTGTTTGCTATGTCGAACTAGTAGCCTGCCAAAATTTTACTTTTAATTATTATAGATACACTAAACAACTAAATCACTATAATGTATTCCATTTGCATGTTAATGTATGTTTATTCTTCTTTAATATAATAAATGTGTAAGTTAACGAAAAATAATTAAATTACGTGTAAGTAACTTTTTGGTTTGGCATGTGAAAGTACCTAAGCAGCATTAATTGGATACGTATCTCTGTTAGTCGAAATTCTGTAATAAACCACGCTATGGGGTAATAAATGCGACAGACACTTGCAAATCCATATAGAAATAAAAATATAAAATGTGCAATAAAATACAATTAGACGAGGGATAGTGAAATGTGGTTAATCTGAAGTCCATTGAGAGGAGGGTTCGTATATTTTAGCATTGTTTGATATAATAAAGTGAATTATTTCTAATCACTAGGTAGATAATGTCGCTTAACGATTAAGAAATAAAGTACGGTTTGCGGTAACCGTAAATATGTATTTATAATTTTTTTTTAAAAACAACCCTCCCAGTATACACTATGTACTCGTAAGGAATGTTTAATTTCTGTTTTTTTGTATTTCGAAAAGGAAACAGTGGATTAAAACGCACATTAAAACAAACACGAAGACAAATATCGTCCTGAATCAAAACCTACTTTTCGTCTTAAGTTTAATTAAAACATTATTTTCGTAGGTATTTAATGTGTTTTGTGTTAATCATCAATTATTTTTCCAACGTGATTTATATCACGTTTTATTTTATATATGTGCGAATTAGTTTTGTTCTTAAGTCTCACAGCAGTTTCGAAAATATAAACATAATGTGTAAACTTACAACATATTTTATATGAAACAATTGCGGAGTAGTCACGTATTACCTTACAATTTTTTCTACTTTCTATAAATAAACGTGTAGTTTTTTATATATCAACGCAGATATTTATGAAAAATATAAATAATTAAAGTAATATGTTTTTCTTTATTTTTACAAATATTTCAGGCAATTGATTGCCCAAAACAATTAAAAAGAAGCAGCATGAGGCAAAATTATGATTGATCATTTGATCAATCATAATTGATCTTTGATCATAATTTTGCCTCATGTGTAAAAAAATTGTATAAAATTATACTCCAGGCACTTTTTTATTTCAAAATAAATACATATTATGTATTAATCCGATATATATTCACTGAATCTTTTTTATGTTGCAAAAGCAGTAACATTTACGAATTTTACAAAGAAATACTCACACTATATTTCATTTTCTAAAATTAATATAACCTTTAGTGTTAGAGTAGAAAAAAATCTATTTTATACTTATTGTAGTACCATGTGGGTTAGGTTTAAAAATAAAGAATAATTTTACGAAGAAGCTCATTTGACAGGGCTTTGAGCTTTTAGTCACTTGTATTTTTCCAGTCTCACATTTATACGATAGATGGCGCTCCATTTACTAACTTCTATATAAATTTTTGAATTTGATTATGTTTGCTCCGTATTTTATTTTGCTAAATATAAAAATATTTTCATGATAAAGTTTTATTTTTAAATCTATTAAATTCTTCGTCGCTTTTAAATACGCCAATCGCTTTAGTAGGGACAATAAGGTATAAAAATTACAACTTGTGTCATTAACAATTAATTAAAAATTTTAATGTATTAGATTGAAACTTCACGAACATATTTTTCTGCAGTTTCAATTTAATGACATTAAAATTATAGTATATGATTACTCTATGTGTATATTTGGAACTGTCATAAAGTCATTTATATGTATTATTTATAGGTCAAAATTCGATATTTCATGTAAATAAACGCAATCAACGAGCAGATAACAAGGGCTCCACCACTTTATGGGTAAGATTTAAATCTTGAAACACGTTAAATCATTATGTACTCTATGTGTTAGTATCGTAATGACTTGATGTTCTGTGTTATATTGTAGTTGTACAGATTATAATTATTGTAGTAGGAAATGCAGCCACAGTCTGAGCGCATCCATAAAAATACAGCCTATTTATCACATTTTGTGAAGACATAAGCCACTTTTTCATACATTGTAATTGACAAAAACAGGTTAACTATATTTTCTCGTTGCATTGAATATTTGCTGCAATGTTATTTTTAGCGATTCAAATTAGATATTGATGAGGGAATCATCACGCAATCGAGTAATGAAAATATTGATTCAAATAATCAAACAAAATGAATTAGTATAAGGATGATGCTTATAGTAATTTGAATTTTACTTTGAAATATATCAATGTCAAGAAATTTATGTCATCCCAAAATTATTATACTATAGTATTTGAGGTGACATAAATTTCGAACAAAATAAGTGTTTACATCCTTCAATAATATCTATGTCATATGGCAACAAGAATGATTTCGATTGTATATTTTAGCTTCAACATGATCCAATCAGAATTGTATACTAAGGAATTTTAGTGAATAAATTATTGACTGGTGCTTTCACAACAAATTGTTTGTTTTATTGTCTCGAATTCCATACCTTTAACTTATCTAACATTTAAACATGCCGTTACATTTTTTTTAATCTAAAATTGTTCGTTCTTGTAAAATGGTTCTCAATGGCAGCCTCGTACTGGCAGTGTAGGACGATGCCCCACTAGATGGAGTGACGACCTGACCTCAAGTTCGTGCTTCGTGGCAGTCTGTGGGAGGCCTATGTTCAGCAGTGGACTCAAAACAGGCTGAAATGATGATCATGATAATATAATGGTGATTGATCAAATTATGCAAAAAAATTATGTAGAAAGAAATAATTATTGTGTTTGTCAGGGTAAATACATAAAATTAGTATAATATGTAGCTTTGAACACACAAAACACTAATACTCTCGCGAGAAGAACGACAATTCGATTTTTAAATTTGAAACGCTTACACGGTGGACACTGACGCTCCAGTGTATGCCACCAATATATTTCATATATATTGGTGGCATACACTGAATTTACTCACGCGTTACGTACTCAAATCTACGAGATATCACACTAGTTCACATATAAACTTTCAACTAGGAAATATATAATTTTAAATGATTATGACTTAGTAAAGTAAATAAACCACAATAAAAACACATTTTAAATATTCTTTAATATTTTTATTGTACAAAAAGAACATTGTTTTCGGTATTCCTCAATGAATCCTCGATTTTGGATAAAAAGAGTCTAGACTTTAGTGGATACGAAGCCGAAACAATACTGCACTTAGCACAACTTAACAAGTCATGCTCTACCGTTATCAAGGCAATCTTATTGTATAATTTAAGGTTTAAATAAAAAAGCGTTAATATCACGAAGGACTGTATGTCACACAAATCTCCATTAAAAACACTTGTGACACTGGCTCTTTCTCACAATAAATACTACCAAAATAGCAAATTTACTTATGTTCAATTCAAGTTTAATTCAAACGAGGTGTATATGTATCCTTATAAAAATCATAAATACTACTTCGGGAATTTTAAAATATCATTAAAGACCGATGTGAGAGGCTTGGTTTGTTATAAAAATATTTAGGAAATTAAAAAGACTTATAATCATCTAGAAAAAATATATTCATGTTCTTCGTTATTGGCTACGTCCAATTTAAAGTTCACAAGTCGTAAAACTTTCTAAACCACCGACATTTTGAAAACTTATGCCCGTACAAGATTGGCCTCCTTATTGTTTTGTTCATTGACAGCCAGTAGACCTCGTATCGAATATTTCGTTAAGTTCACTTTAAATGTACACTAGAATATTTTTTTTAAATATCCCTTGAAGGACCCCGTAGTTTGATTAATGTAATGTAATTCTTTTCAAATTATTATCATCTTCGAATACACATAATCGCAAACGCCGCTCGAATCGTTGGTGACCAGGTGCTGTCCTCGGCCTTTCGGCCTTGCGAAAGGGTTGTTGCATCTCCTTGCATTTTGTATTTTTACTTTACTACAACTCGTCAAACTGCCAAATGCCATAAACACCATCTATGCCCGGTTCCTATATTCAACGAACGGCCGTTAGTTATATAGTCATTATGAAGTCGTTGCAACGAGTCGTTATGAAAGCTACGAAGTTATGTAACTAACGGCCGTTCGTTGAATATAGAAACCGGACACAGATGTTTAACGATCCGCTAGTGCGCTTATCACGCATTTTTCTGCTACAAACAACCACTTTATAGGACCAGTTGCCACCAGTGGTATTTCTGAACTGAAACGACTTAGAAACCTTCAAGAAGAAGGGCAACGTGCTGATCACTTGCCATCAATTAACCTGCTCGCTCGTTTACCACCTTTTCCATAAAAAAGTATCATAAGGATCGGAATAAAACAAAACGCTTCATAGCAATTGTATATTTAATATCAAATCTTAACACGTATAACACAGCTTAACGGAAATATAACTAGCGGCTGCTTCATCGCCTTCGCGATAGACCAGATCGAATAGTCTACCCTGGACTACTCGGAATAGACCTTAAAACGAACGCGTAGCGCGCTGTAAGCGTTCCTTGCTTAATATTAATCAGTTAACAGCTAACACCAGATAGGTTGACGTTACATTTTAATAGTACCATTTACATATTGAAAGTAATTCATACGAGGCAAGGGAATGGAAGCATATTATAGTACACAGTAAATAAATATTGATGGGAATGTAACAAAACCAAAGCTTTTTCAACGGCATTTAAACGGATAAAGGCGACTATTGGAATTTCCTTAGCAGTCATTAGCAACGACTGTATTACGATTAACTCGTACCATGAGATAGTTACGTACATACAGATTAAAAATTATAACATAAGAATAATTAAGCTTCACTTTGAGAAGGAATAGCGAACTTAAATACACTGTTTTAAATCTAATTTACGAGGATTTTTTTATAAAAGTTTCAAGGAGACTGTCGAAAATAGTTTTGATTTGTAAACAGATATGTACAGATTTCATGCAAAAGATGTATGTGAGTTGTCTGTGCGAAAATGTTGCAATAAATTGAATTTAAACTGTCGGTAATGACATTTGAATACTATTTTTACTATTCTTAATGGAAACAGTTCTTGGCAAGTGAGCTTTTTCTAAATACATTTCAAACGTTATTACATATAAGACTGTATAAGTGGTTTTAACTAAACAGTAAGCCATAACTAAGACTTTCTCATATAAAATTTTAAATCATATTACCAAAGACAAATAACAAAATCAAAAGAAAACGGAATAAAAGCGCTGACGCTGTTTCGGTTCCTTTTTTTAAATTAAGTTTAATGAAAAGTTTAATGCAAAACTGTTTAAAAATTATCGCTTACCAGAATAAGTTATAATAAACACATAACATAGTCGAAATAATATCATCAGAAGATTCGTCTTTGATTTTATCTAGCTAAACATAGATACAAGTAAAATGTTTGATAACACACGACGTAAAATACAATTATTCATATTAGATTTTACTTCACATTTAATAATTTCATGATCAATTTAAATGAAAATTTTGATTTATTCGTATATTTATTATTATTCGTATTGGATATTACCATTACAATCTATTTTTAATACAAACAGTCAAATGGCGTACATCGATAGTTACGTTTAAAGATATTATAAACTTAAACTATTTCTTAGTATATAGTTATAGTATTGGTAGTAAATTTAAAATGTTGTATATTATATTCTAACAAACTTCCACTTATAAGAGCATTAATAGTAAACTATAAAGTAAATAACTAAATTTATTTGAAAACAATATATTAAACCGACAGTGGAGATAATTTAATTTAAAGACTAAAATTAACAGCAAATTAGTTTCAAAATCACGATAGAAGCCGAAATATGGCAAAATAAATAACAATTTAAAGGCCGATGAGGGCTAAAAAAATTGTTTTAATAAAAATAAAGTTATGAAATAATTCAATTTAAAAAAAAACACATTGCTAAATAATATTTCTAGTAGGCAAGACCTTTAACCACCGCTTTACGTAAAATGGCGTGAAATAATTATCACAAATCAATGAATTTAAAATTTATAAGAACTTACATCTGTTTATAATTTCGTTTATTGCTAAGATAAAGAGAGATATGAAGGTTAGTTCAGATATGTTCGAACTATATCTAGTTTTTTTTAATGTTTTGGTCCGAAGTCATAATGAGAAAGGTTCTTCACATGATGCTTTATTGATTGGGACTGTTTTGGCAATAATTTGCTTACAAAGGCAAACATTAAGTAGACGGATAATAAAATACAACCTTCAATTTTTAAAATTTACGATCATTTCGAAAGAAATTAAGATTTTGAATATCACTCCGAAGATACAATTTTTATTTATTTTGCACCGATAAAAAAAATAATAAATCTCCGTAACTTTAACTTTATTAAATGTCTTCTTCCGTAAAATATGTTCGGCTCAGATATCTGATGGTCAATCCGTAACGCATTACAAGAATATCGTTCATAAATATTATAGCGATTCACTTTCGTGCAAACAAGTGTTTTAAAGTCATCGGTTAAAAGTCGTTTAAATTATAAATATTAAAAATGGACAGATAGTTCAGTATTATGTAGAATTTGACAAACAATAGTTAAGTGTGCTTGGTAACTGTCTCCTAGCCAATTACAAAGACGGCATTAGACTACAACAATTAAGAACTAATTGATTATAAATAAGTATTACACCGATATTTACACCTACTAAATGCGCTAATTTACTTAAAACTGGGAACAGAATCAATCCTCGTTAGAAATTCGGGCAAGATTCAATCTGTCTATAGACTGTAGGTATGTCAGATCTCAGGCAATAAAACACTCCGAAAAATTTAAAGCCAACGTTACTACGATTAGTCATGGAATAAATTAGGCAAGTCGTGCACTTAACACTGAGTATAAATATAAATTAAATCGTTTTTGTTCATGATAAACCTTGTTTATACTAAAAATTCACGTAATGTTACAATAATACTTCCTTTTCAACAGCCAACCTATATAGTCTATTAGTATTGACCCTTCGAAACATTTCTCTCAACATTCAAAATCCATTCTTCTTTTTTTTTTTTTTTTTTTCAAAAACCTTATTCGACGGATTCTACGCATCTTATAAGTTCGATAGCGTATTGTTTTTTTTTTTGTAATATTTGTCATTTATAAAAAAAAACAATACTACTTGTTAAATTATCTTAATAAATAGAGAGGCAAATCCATTAAATTAGTATGGCAACCAATAAATTTGCGGACAAAAAAAAAACGTAAAAAAGTAGCGTAAGAGAATTTGAAATGGAAGCGGAGGTTGCAACATAAATTGATCGCAATGAGATCATTTCAATGAAAGTAATGAAACAACTTTAATATCATCCTAAACAATTAGTAGAGAGACGAATCTCCATTTGTGGAGATAACTATATTCTGATCCCGTATAGTCAGAATTGGTTTACATCCCTTAAGTAGTGCACCTACAATTAGGTCACTTGGAATCTTATGCGACATTCGACTTTTAATTAGAGAACGTGAAGTTTACATGAAGAGTTACCATATATTTTAATATCGAGCGTTGAGCGTAATATAAATCATTTCGGTCGATATAAAAGACCGAACGGGCGAGGAAAACCTCACTGTCATAAGCAATACGTAATTATATATACCAATCATGATCGATCCGAACGATAGCTGACAACAATCAACAGACGATCATGGTTGAAAAATTTTGTAATCAACGATCGTTAGACAATCGATCAACGGCTACCAAAATATGATCGATTAGATTAGTACCAATAGTACAATTTTAAAATCAACGATCGTTAGACAATCGATCAACGGTTAACAAAATATGATCGATTAGAATAAAAATGTACTATTGGTACAATAGTACAATTTTAAAATCAACGATCGTTAGACAATCGATCGAAGATCACCAAAGTATTACCGAAATCGATGACTTATTTAGCGATGGTAAGAACAGCTTTGGTATTAGGACGGCTCACGTGGATTGGGGCGGTTCGTTTATAGCAGGCCGCGGTCCAGTTCCTTGCGCAGCATCCTGGTCAACTTCAGAACGTCCTCGTCGATCTGGCCAGAGAACAGGGAGTCCAGGAGTTCCGCGCGCGACGCCAGGGCGAACACACCAGCAAGTCGCGACACGGATTTATCAGACAGATGCCTCTCCACCACGGACCTGATGAAAATGGACTCGTTAGCTTCAACGATTATACGAAAACTGTTGTGTATTGTGAGAAGCTGGCACGCGAGATGGCGGTTCATGTAACAACCACCGCCCATAGAGAACGCACGTACGGTTGCAGACGCGTTGCATGTCTAATAAAGTGGGCCTGGGCTACGTCGCTCATCATACGAAACGCAGAAATACAACACTTCCACTTCACGCCGGTCTTCTGTGAGGTCGTGGTAATTCGCCGGACGGTGCTGCCCATTAGTGCAACAGCGAAGAAAGTTGCATGGCCTTTCAACAAATAGTATATTAAAAATAGGGAAGAGGATCATTAAACGCACTGTTTTGGCTACCTGATGTCTTTCTGTAGCGAAAGACTAGAGAGCAACGTAATTTTTAATTCACTGCTCTCTAATCTTTCATTGGAGCAGCAGTGATTGGATTGGAACAAAGTTGAAAACTTACTTAGCGACTGATGGGATTCACGCAGGGCGTCCTGTAGGAAGCCACGATCGTACGAGAAGTCCACCTCGCAGAAGGACACCACAGCCATTAGCACCGTCTAGAATTGCAAAGGTTCAGTGGTAAATGATATTGGTCCCATTTTGGATTTTGTTTGGATGTTGTAAAATATTTCTAAATGTCTATTAATCTAGAAATCCGACTCCCGGTTTTGACGTTAAACGCTATTTTGGGCACATCTTGAGCTAGTTACTGGCATTGCGCACAGAATTGGCACGCTGAAGTGGAAGTGGTCTAGCCATGTCTCCAGGCGTACTGATGGTTGCTGGTGCCGACATGTGTTAGAGTGGATACCACGGTTAGGGACGATGGACTGACGCCTTAAGAAAGGTAGCGTAAGAAGATGGATACTGGCTGCCCAGGACCGGGATAGTTGGCGCACTTTGGGGGACGCTTAAGGTCAGCAGTGGACGGCAATAGGCTGATATTGATTTTTATTGTTTGAGCTAGTATCAACACGTAACATATTGTAAAACTCGACACTGGAATATTAAAAGAATGTTTTAATTGATAGATTTCTTTACCAATGTTTCCTTATTGATGTTTAATTTGAGCTTTACTCCATGTGCGTACAATGGACGCTCAGAACTGCACTCACGTGGAATTTGGCGCGAAAGGCCGCCAGGGCGCGCTCGTCGGTTGCGGTCAGCTGGTTATGGCGACGCAGCACCCCTAGCTTCACCGCCGCCTTGATCACGTGCTTCACCAGCTTCTCCGCCTCTCGCTTCTCGATCCTCTCGCGCAGCACGCACAGGAACTGTACCAGGATCGTCATGCCCGTGAAGAACAGAGCCGTACACCAGTTTTGGTACAGAAGTTTATTTTTAATGTATTGTATTGTATTAACTGATGTTAAAGCTCTCAGTCCCGAGACTGTTAAAGCTTCATCAAACCCAGAACCGGTGGGCTAGCCAGAACCCACGGATTTGAGGCCCTCTACAGTGGGTAGGGCCGCGCATGTGCTCATGCGTTCGTTGGCTAAGAAGTGTCGCCTACGGTCTATCGAGGTTTTTTTAGTGTATGAAGGTGGCAAGCGAGCTGGCGGTTAGCCTGATATAAAGTGATAACCACCGCCCATGCACATTTGCAACACCCGTAGAGTTACCACCTTTTAATAAAGTGGGCCCGGCTACCTCACTCACCAGACGTAACGCAGAAGTATAACAATTCCACTTCACGCCGGGCTTATGTGAGGTCATAATAGTTCCCTGGACGAATCCGCCCATTCGTATTCGTATACGTATTCCATAACAGCAAAGACTGTTGCGTGGTCCTATTCAAGTTGAAAATCACCAAATTTGAAATTCAAACTAAAAGGAAACTATATCGTCTTTATATTGAGTTATGTTAAATTTATCGATTACGAAGCACACTGTCCATGGTAATGATGTGTCTGGTGTCACAATTATATTTTCGTATTGTGTATAAGCACTTTTTCTCCGTGCCTTTTGATTTATATATCGTGTAAGTTTGGAACATCGTGCAAAAATGTTCCTATAATGATTTTGTCGAAACGCTATCCCAAGTCATTAGGAAACACGCAGGGCATTCGATGATGAAAACATGGACAGGTCGGTCAGTGTTAAGAATTGACAATAGCGAGGCGGTAAACAAGTCCATAGCAAGAAATATTTTAAAATATATTAGGGCACACTTTTACACAACGTTCTCTAGTCCTAAACTAAGCAACGCTTGTACTATGAGTACTAGATAACTGATAAACATACTTTTATTTTATAAATAAATACATATTTACATATCTAAACACCCAGCCACTGGAAAAACACTCGATCGAACCCACGTCCTCTATCGCAAGGCAGGTTTACTACCCACTCTTCCAATGGGGTCGTAGAGCTCACCTGGTCGAGCAGTTTGGCCGCATGCTCGTCGAGCACCAGGGCGCGGGCGCTGGCTGCACCGCCAACCCTCGAGAGGAACTTCTTCTGCGCGCGCAGGGAGATATCGCGGGCGCACCACGCACCGCCCTCCATCGCTGTGAAAGAGGAAGAGTTGAAAGACAAACATTGGTTCAAATAGGCTTTGCTACCACCGGTGCGTTCCGTAGGAGTTCCGAAGGAGTCGTAAGTCGAAGGGGTTTAGTGGGTAAGAGCCCCACATAATCCCGTCATGTAAGGTGACAGGGTATCTTTTGGCGATTCCCCCCCCCCCCCCCCCCCCCCCCGATACCAAAAGAAAAAGGCTTTGCATCTATACATTTTGTTGAGGTTAAACCAAATTTCAAGATCTCTTATCTGTCATTGCCAAAATCTCAGCACTTATTTTGCTATTACGGAAAATAATCCGAAAAAGCTTTTAGATTAAATGATATTTAACAATTAAACATATCGGGGTTGGAAAAAAATGTAGTGTAACATTTTTCCGTTACGCGCCATCTTTTTTTTATCTTAAAATGTTCCTCTAACGCCATCTAGTGTTGAATAGGGGGTTTTATGTCGTCTTTATTCTTTAGTGGTTTTAATAGTCGACGCTAGATGGCGTTATTTCCTTTGTGTTTTCATAGCAATATATATATATATATATATATGTTATATTAAAGTGATCAGCAAAATCAAAGGGTTTATTTTAATTCTAATTCTAAAATGTAAACAATATATTTCGTATTTCAGTTACCATAAGCCATTAATAACACAAAAATATAATAACATCGGCTCCTGGAACTTGCGGCTGCGACGTCGATCCAACGTCCGCAAGTTCGGTTTTCCAAAAAAAACTTCACTCACAAACACTCGCGCGCGAGTCGAATGTCTGGCTTCTACTCACTGGCTGACTATTCGGCAACGAAGGACCATGTACAAATTCAAAGCGGTTGTATTTTGGGTCCGTGAGGTTAATTGAAATAAACAAGGTTCACGTTGCAAGTTTTTTAATCAACAAGTTTTGCGGACCCTCATACTAATTACAACGGTCAAACCATAGTGTATTTTAATTTATTACTAACGCTACCTATGTATTACAAATAAGAAACTAAATATTATACAAAGCTAAAATTAAATAAGTCGTAGAATTGTATTTATGTCTATGATAATAAAAGCCTTTTATTAAACTTTATCTAATTTAACTTCATTTAACCAATTTCTGTAAAGTTGCATATAGTAAATTTTTTTTGAAAAATAACGTCATAAAAAAGTTTCACTTCTTACGAGTGTACGCTAGTACACGCACACATTTTTTACGTTTTATTGTTGAATTCAAATAACGCACGAACACATTTTGTTTACCAGAGTATATTCACTGCACAATTCAAATTACAGTTTATATAATAATGTTTTTACGTGTTACCAATTTCCGTCGGAAATTGACGGAAAGTTCATTGTTAAATTTAATGTCGCTGTCAAGAAGTAATTAATGTTCTTAAGACATTCGTACCATATGAAAACCTTTACCTTAGTTACCCATAGTTTCTTTAATTATTTAAACAAAATATTAACGTTCTTTATCTCTTTGAATAGTTATGCTTTCTACTGTTTTGTTGTTTAAAATTATTATTCATTCTAACAGTATTGCGATGAAACAAAAATTCTCTTATTAACGTTAAAATCGCTAAAACAACAGAGGATTGGCTACAATTTTCCCTAAAACTTTCCGTTCGCGCTCCGGAAACAATAGGAAAGATCCCTGCGGAATTGATGAAACGTGAACTAATGGGCGAAAGGTAATAAACCTCGATTCGCTTCGAAACGCAACTTAACGATTACGAGCATTTCCCGCGCAGGTGAGTCGATATAATAGGGCGGTGATGATTTCTCATCTAAAACATAAATTGAACATTCCATGCATAATCAATATTTTTTAGTTATTTTCATCCCTTTCCTATGTGTAGAGCCTATTTCTTTTAGCAGACTTCATTTAGTTTTGTTTTGTATTAATTTTATATTAATATTTACCATATTTTTCAACAGATCGCCGCAGTAGCTATAAAATATTGTAAACTCTAATGATTTTCGAGAGTTTGCCGCAATATGCTTAATTGTGAACTTTTCAACAGGAGTTACGGTGGTAGGGCCACGCAGCAGCCTCGGCTGCTGCACGAATGGGGAGGCCCGTTCGGGAAAGTACCACGACCTCACAGAAGACCAGCGTAAAGTGGAAGTATGACAAATACTTTCGCGTTTCGTCTGGTCAGTGAGGTAGCCGGAGCCCAATTTTCAAAAGGTTGTCAACAGGCATCTGTAACCCTTGAGTGCAGCAGATTTCCATGGGCGGCGGTATTCACTTACCATCAGGTGAACCGTCAGCTCGTTTGGCAACTTTTCACATTAAAAAAAAAAGTCGAGAATTACTGTAGGAAGATCACTAAAAATTTATTGATCACTAGTGTCGAGACTCAATGAGCGGGGAAAAAATTATCATCCATTCCATCCGTTTGATATAAGAATATATTGAAATGACATATTTTGGAATATAATCTCACCAATATGTAAATGTGTTTGCCCAAACTAAGTGGCATAAGCAAATCAAAACAAAAAAATTATAATATATTTTACTCGCAAAATAGACACATGCAAGATATTTTATATGGAACTAAGAACCGCCGACATGGCAATGTAACACTGCGTTCACCCTTATAACTAAAACAGGGACGGATGAAGTTTGAAGTTTTTAAACAAACTGTTATTAGTTTTCAAGGTTTTGAGACCTTTGGGTTCTATGTCAAAAACGCTTCATAGAAAGCTTAGTGTCTGGGCGTTCGCTTGTAATTCAATATACTTGAGAGGAAACCTATATAACAAATAACAAAAAAATATATCTCGAAGACATGTGAAGTCTAGCAATCCGCAGTAGGGTCGCATGGACTGTGCTCTAACACTCTGTGTACAGAGGAGGCCTTTGCCCAGCAGTAGCACATATATACGCTGTTACAATTACTAAATTTACTAGTCCTCCATAATGCGAAGGTATTTAATAAGAAACTAAAAAGGGTAAAGGCCTTTCGAAGCGTTTTCGACACGCGAACGTAATTTTCCACGGGCGAACCACTTCGATTGATCAAAGCGACCACTCGACTACTCGTAGTTATATAAAGTCCTACTCGTAGGTATATAAAGTCGACGGCTAAGCACATCACTTGGGCCATCGGTACACATTAGTGTAAACGCCCCGACGGAAGCTGACTACGGCATGGCGTGCCGAAACGGCCTCGGGGGGTTGCCAAATCGTGTTTGCCCACGAGTCAATGTCAAGTTCCGTACCCGTCCTTGCTTTCCGCCCTGCCGTGAACCCATTGCGGCGTCAAGCATAATACGCCTATCGTCTAGCGAGCAACACTTCTCAGTGTTCATATGCACACTTTTATTAGGGTTCCCTACCCAAAGGGTCTGTCTGTCTGTCTGTCCGTCTGTTACTTGTCTGTATCTCATGAACCGTGATAGTTAGACAGTTGGAATTTTCACAGATGATGTATTTCTGTTGCTGCTACAACAAAAAATACTAAAAACCAGAATTAAAGAAAAATTAGTGGGTCTCCAATAAAATAGACATGATTTTTTGCCGTCTGCGAAGCTTTTATCACTGCCCTGCACATTAATCACACATAATGCACATAAATCTAATTAACAATTTGAACTCGGCGCTTATAGGACCTTGTTGTGGATTGCTCTAGCATAAAGGAAAACCGGCGAAGTGCGAGTCGGACTCGCGTACGAAGGGTTCCGGATTGAACCCGCTGGATATTGAATTAAACGCGAGCGCCCGGTCGATGACCTATCACTGCTAGGTAGGAACCATCGCGACTGATACAAAACTTTGACAGGGAAATACATATGTGCAAGCAGTCATCAGTCGTCGAAATTTTCCGTTTCAAATGGCATGCAGAAGAAGAAACAAGACGGCGAATCGATGACGAGAGTTTTATTGCGGCCCGTTTTGTTTACAATGCACGCAACACGGCCAATCGATTAACTGACTCTGCAAGGGAAGTTGATAAACATCGACGTTGTTTCGCCCGAATCTGAACGATGGCGGCGCAAAAACTAGTTTCGCTTGCCAGCAATTCTATTGTGCTACTGAGGTACTGACGTAAAGTAACAGCCTATATATGTCCGACTGCTGGGCAAAGGCCTTCTCTATACAGAGCGTATTAGGAGATAGTCCACCACGCGACCGCACTGCAGATTGGCAGACATCACATACCTTCGAAACTGTATTTACTACATACGTTAATATAAATTCTATACATACATATAATGATGTGTTTGATTTAAAAACGTCTCCAAAAAGTTCGCACTATGACCTTAAACTCCTAAAGTAATTTACGAAACCTAATTTCGAAATAAAACAGTGTTGCATAAAACAAATCCTTGCCCTGGATTGAGACATATGAACTTGTGAAAATGAAGTGAAGTACTTGTAAAATATAACCTTTGTGAGTGCAGCTATAATAAAAAGAGCATTGTGCGAATGTATTCTATATTTTTTTGAATGATAACATACTACACTTTATAAGGGGAAATAATACGCTCTTTAATCAGATGAACACCCTCGAAGTTATGCCCGTATTGTAGCTTTTATAAGGTTATTTAAAATAAACGTATATTATATAGAAAGAAAAAAACGTTTTCCCCATACATTATGTTTACCACTGCTGTCAGTTCAATGTCAAACCGTGCTCTATCTGAATTTAATCTCAGCGTTCTTATGCAAAATTGCCCTATTGAGATTCTGAACAGATGTTTTCTAATATTGTTACGTTTAAAATTATGCTTTTGTTGTTTTGATAAAAAGCAAGTTTGATAAAAGATTTATGTTAATAATTATACATGGTAGTGTATTTTATGCTTTTTTTTTTATTGATTTAATGTACTTTATATGTATCATTTTATAAAAATATTAGCATTCAACACTCCTTCTCTATGTAAACTATAAGTGTGGGAAATTTCATACTCCTCCATCCGCGCAATTTTCGTAAAAAGCGGTACAAATATTTGTGCTTCACGTATTAATATATAGAAGAGGCTAGCACCGAAAATAGTAA